CTGGTCCCTCTGCCTGGGGGGGGCCCAGGAGCACAGCAGGTCGGTGGAGGGGACTGAAAATTCCCTCTCAGCTCTGCCTCTGTCGTGCTCTCACTTCTGATCTGACTGTGCCAAGGGCTGGCATCAGACCCGGCTGGAAATAAAACCTCTCCCTTGGGCTGGGGGACTCTGGGCTGCCCAGCCACCCTGTGGCCCAGGGGGCCACAATCCTGAGGATGGGGGCTCCCTGCTGGCCACCAAGCTCCAACGGCCACACCTCTGGTGTCCCCCTGCGCCGGTGGGCTGCACGCCCGCCCCGCTGCGGCAGCGCCGAAAGGGAAGGATGTGGGGGAGAGAAGAGGAAATCGGTGTGGGCCAGCAGAGAGGCTGGCACGGGGACTGTGCCGCGCAGGTGATCTTGGACCGGAGCCAGGCTCCTGCCCGGCTTTGGCTGCCTGCCTGCCCAGAAGGGAAAGCAGAAGTGCGGTGTGCAGCCGGCGGTGGGGAACTGGAATTCCCCGGGCAGCTGCCAGAGCCCAGACCTCCCTTCTGCAGCCGCCAAACCCAGCCCTTGGGCTCTGTGAAATGCATCCCAGGCTCTTCGGACCTGCCCCGGGTTGGAGGCTGGGCTTTGGGCAGTGCTGGCGCCAAGCCCCGCGCATGCTGTGAGGTCCGAGGGAAGACCCCACGATGCTTTGTGGGGACAAGGAGGGTCCGTTTGGGCTGCCCTGGGGAGCCTCAGGCCGTGTTCCTGCCTTGCCCTGCTGCTGAGCTTCCCCAGGGAGAGGGCAGGATGGAGGAGCTCCCAGCTGGTGGGATGGGAAAGGGGACTGGGGGAGGCGGGGAGGTTATTCCCCTGTGCAGCAGTGGAGGATCTCTGCTCCTAAGCATGGCACTCAGGACTCATTTTTCTTTTTTTTTTCTTTTTTCCTTCCTCTGTAGGTTGGTTCACCTGGCTATTATCCACTGCGTCCCTGCTGTGGCCCTCTGCTGCATTGCTCAGCTGCCCAGGGAGGTGCTGGAGATCCAAAATGATCTTTTCCAGGTATTTGGATGTGGTAGGCAGAAGTTGGGAGGAAGGCGGGTGCCGCAGGCTGCTTCCTGGATAAATGCCCAATCCATCTGCCCTCTCCCCAGGACCCACCCCACCCACTTCTTCCAGAGCGTGTGAAGGCCCCTTTTTCAGGGAAGGGAAGAAGGGTGTGGGAGATACACTGAGAAAGGTGTGACAGTTCCCAGCACCCAAGGGTGAAGGGGTCCTTGACGAGGCCTCAGGACATCGCAGACAACCCCAGAGGGTGGAGCAGGCACGGCTTACATGTGGCAGGGTCGATAACCTGGGAGAGCCCTATCTGCCCCCACGGGCGATCCCTGAGCTGAGGTGCGGGGAGCATCAAGCCATTTGCATCCCCCAGCATCAGCCACGCTTCACCCCAGGGTCAGGGACGGGCTCCTGTGCGGCAGCCTGCCCATGCCACCGGGCTGGCTCCTGTAGGCTGGCGTGGGCTCATCTCGCTTGCTGTCCTCCCCCCCGCTCTTTCCTAATTTCTGTCCCCACCTCCTCTCTAGACCCCGCTCCACCTCGCCGTGTACCTGGAGCAGCCCAGTGTGATCCAGGCGCTGATCCACAAGGGAGTCAACCCCGGGCTGCAGGACCGCAATGGGAACACCCCGCTGCACCTCGCCTGCGAGCAGCAGCGCCTGCGCTGTGCCCAGCAGCTGCTGGGGGGCACGGCCCCCACGGGGGGCACGGACCAGCCCCATGGGAACCACCAGGACCTGCAGCTCCAGAACTGGCAAGGTGAGACCTGGGGCGGGGCGGGGGGGGCAGGCCGGGGCAG